AGACACGAAACCAAACTGTGAGTCCGCAGCAACTCGAGATTTTATTTTAGTGGACGATTATCCCATATGTACTTGAGTAACCCTGAGTGAAAAAATCACTCTCGGTCCCAATAATATATTCCGTTGTCACCAAAACACGATAAAAGTAGGACACTTTCTCGTACCACACTCAACAAACTCCAAACCGGAAGGTTATCTTTTGAACCTATTTTCCTGCAGAGGGCGGAACATTTCATCTAAATAAATAAACAAAATAATACTGGATTGACTTAAAACAGCTTTAAACGTTGTATTCATATTACTTAGCCTGACCATTCTACAGGACTGGTAATTAAGGCTTATAAAGGCACTGCTTCATTGTGCCAATTGTGGGGCACAAGATGCCTGCTGTCAAAAACAATGCTATTAATTTCTTTTATTGTTCATTCGTCTATGGGATTGGTGTGAATAACATATATGTGTATTACATACCTACTATTATTATATACTTATATATGTATATAAAACTAAAAACAATAACACCTAAGCGAGGGGTGTATGTTGATTAAGTGCTTAGCGAAAGTAACAGGTAGGCCTCGGGATGCTGTGTAGAGAAACAATGCGCAACAAGGATCAAGCTTAGAGCAACTCAGGTACAAAGATAGAACTATTTCCTTAAATGATAACGATGTTGTGTAATTTGGGAGGAATCAAGATACAATACTTTGATATGGTCTGCTTAACTACGTAACAACTTTCAAGTTAATCTCTGTTCCTAAATTCAAATGGTGTTTTCCTATTTCTGCGTGCTCAAGCTAACTAGGAAACAACCCTATTCGTGAAACAAATTTTTGTCGTCAGTGCCATGCTATTTACAATTTATGTTTTTATAAACAAAACGTATGTAAAAGAAACAAAGTGTGAACTAATCTTCTGGGCATACGGTAACAATTTCCATCGACATTTCTGCTATTACGGTAGAAACTTTTTAATTCAGCTACATGGTAAGTCATTTAGAATGCAGTGTATTTCCAGCTTATCCGGTTAAATTTCCCCTCCATAAAAGAAAATTTTTGGGACGTTACAGTCCACACTGCATCTACCTTTGATTTGTAAATTCACAAAAGCAAAACATATATCATTGTGGTTATCTTATACGTGTAGCTAGTTGCAACTAACAAAGCATGCAAAAATATTTGGTTAATCCGAAACAGACTAAAAACATCCATGTTAAAACACCCAAGTAACATTTGTCATTGCGATTTCCCAGAGCTCTGTAATTAAAAAGCTCTGAGCGGATTGATTTAAATGTCTGCGTCTATCATTGTTATCTACGATATTCTGAGTATGTGTTGGCATTTTAAGTTTCTCAAATTAAAGCTTGCATGGATTTCAGATTGCTGAGCTACATAATTGCACTGTAGAGGGTTAGATCACAGTTATACTACACTATATCCTCTATAGCTGTAGTCAATCGGGGTGATGATGATACACCACTACTAGTATATAATATTTTTCACTGTACCTACAGTCAGACAAGTACCTAAGAGATAGGAGGAAGCTGGTGTCATACCGTGATATAAGTCTGGGCTTAAAAGAGGTATTCTTAAGTGTCGCCCCATTAGTCATACCCCATCTTCTCACGATTGATGGCGAGGGTCGTAAAGGAAAAAACTCACTTCTTTTCTCGTATCGTACAGTCTTTTATCACGTTCGTGTATAACTTGCCAAAATGCTTTCTTAAATAATCTCACCGGAGCGATCGATTCTGGTCATTACTGCACTTTTCATATCTTAGGACACAGAAAGCTTTCGATGGAGTCCCGCACAAGGCTATTAGGGAAAATGGGTAGTTTAGGTAAATTAAATCTGCTGATTTCTTGGTTTAAATCCTATCTGACTGGACATTCCTTGAGTGAGCGTAAATATGTTCAGCTCTACTCCCCAACAAGTTACTAATGGCGTCATCCAATGCAATGTTTTAACTTCCCTTATTTTCATAGAGTACATAAACAACCTTTTATCTGTTGTAGGCTTCGGAAGTTTATACGTGTTTGTTTATGACTTGAAGATGGTGTATTCTTTCCATTCATCCAAATACACTACTGAAATGGTAAATAGTAAATGTGATCTAAAAGCCATAGAGGGCTGGGCTGCAACATGGCAATTGCACTTCTCCACATCAAAAGTCAATATCATGAATTATGGATGCCATATTGAGCCAGGATTGTTTCGGCTTCATGCCGATCCTATTCCAGTTTGCTCTTCTGTCAGAGATTTTGGACTGAGGTATTCCAGCTCCATTAATTTCAGCGAATGTGCGAAATATGTGTTCACTATGTTAAAACGAAACGGGATATGTTGGTCAGTTACAGATGCTGAAAGAAACAGGGCACATAGAATTTGAAATTAATTGCAATCGCTGTAAGGGTATTGTTAGCGGTAAGTACAGCAACTTACGTACATGTGACTTGAAGGCCAAAGAAAGTGTTCAGTGCGCCATCCCCAAACACATCTTATGTTACTTTCCACTAGTTCCTTATAAAGATAGATGTAATGAAATAAAACTTGACCTTTTATGGCTGCATAGATTACATTTGCATCTTGATTTCCTTCAAATGCGTTAATAGTAGGAGATTATAAATGATGTTATCCATTGTGAGTGCCCTATGTTATATCGATCCAGCAGTTAAAAATGCATCTTCTAGCTCTCTATGTACAGTGTTCTGCAAATAATTAACGAAGCAAGTCAATTGTGTGTCCAGACGCATACATTTCTACCAATTCATGGTTTAGGTATTATTTCATTGTATGCAAACAGTATGTGATGAATAATGCTTCCTTGTTTTTCGACACTAGATTTTTCCTGAGCTACTCTAATGTATCGATACTATTCCAGCGTATTAGTGCACTTACAGATAGATTCAGTGGAGTTTAAGCATATTCATAGATGGTCGCTCAATCAATAGTTGTTTCGCACACACAGTAGCCATGCGTTTCTCAAATCCTACGCTTCATTTGACGGGCTGTTTTAACACTTTCAGTGACTTGTCCCAACTCACTGTATGCAAATGTCCAACTGATTGCTTGTTTTTCCGGTGGGAAGGTACAAAGTAAGTCATCTAGGGACTACCCGTAAATGGGTTGAATTCCATCATTCAGGTCGTTCATTCTTCAATCAAATACTTGGCTTAATTGTTGCCACTTCATAGAACATTGACGCGTGTGTGTGCCTTCAGGATAAAGTCCAGCACAAGTAAGCTGATGACAACCATATGTGTTATCATGTGTCTTCAAATAAATAACTACTCCCAGGGGACCGTGCAAAATGTTTCACTCCAGTGATATCTAACAGCATATCGCTTGGTAAGCAGATACCCTGTATAATGATTAAGAAAACAAAACCAACGCCAATGTTAAGGAAATAAAATTTTATGCATTAATATCTGTGGGATTTTACAATTATTTAAAAGTCCCCTTTTCATTATAGCCACCATGGATTTACGGTAACGTACCTTCCCAGTCCACTTTCTAAACAGATATTACAAGCAACCAACATGGCAATAAGATGTGACGCAGATGTAAGTGTCCGTGTGCCGCTGGGTAAGAACAGTAATAATAATGAATGATCATCTTGCAAAAATTTCACTTAAAAATATCGACGTCAGTTATTAACAAACTGAATCTAATTAGTTCGGAACTAATGCACCGTAGGTTTCCAGCGCAGTGGCTGACCTCTGAAAGTCTGTGATACGACGATAAGTAAAGATTCAAAACCTAGCTTGTTGCTGATTGCATCGAAGGTTGCAAGTGTTAGAAAAGATTGGGACATAAACCAACGCGTATCCTGCCAGGAAATCAACATGAAGCAAAACCGGAACTGAGATACCGGTACTATAGAACAAACAATGATAGCAAAACAGGCAATACCTTAACGATTCCTAAACTAAAATGCACCCAAAGGTCCTACAATGCAAAAGCAATCTCTGAGTCAAATCACACAGGTCTACCAAGGGATCAAAATACAGTCAAATGATCTCGCACAGAGCATAGGGAAACATGTAACAATGTACAGCGAGGTCGTGGATTCTGACCAATGGCGCAGGCCAATGCGGCTCTAATCAGATCAATACCTGATCGCCTAGTGTCAGGACGGAGCACAAGCATGAGCATACGCGCGATTGGGTGATGTCAAGGTCAGTGGAAGTGAAACGTGAATGAATGGGTGTGGGTGCACGGAGAGACGGTAGGAAAACAGACGGGGTAGAACGCAGTTCAAACATGGGGTGATACAGCTGACATGAATGAGGCGTAATTCGGCCATTTGGAAAACAAGGTTTGTGAATCGCCAAAGGACAATGTTGGTAAGGAACAGAGGTCAAGCAGGGGTTTGGCAGACGTAAATGGTTGGGCAGACAGAAAACTCCGATTACACTGCCCCACTAAATCCGATCCGGAATTTCAGGCTATTAATTTTTACATGCATCTGCTCTGGATCGCCATACTGAAAATCCATCCACTATGGGAGGTTGCAGGACTTACACCGCTACGTCTGAGCCCTCCCACTTCTGCTGTTAGACATTCAGTAGTCCTCCCTAGAGCAGCAGTTTCAAATATCTGGTTCCTACTTGCGAAAATCCTACAGCCAGAACTATTTCTTCATGCATGTCGCTTCCTCCTAACAAACAATGTTTTCACAAGTTTAATTCGAATAGTCCATTCTTGGTTTTGACTGGATTCGTCGCTGCACCTTATGGACTAAGCAACTCCGGGGTACCATCAGGATCCAACTTGTTTTTTCAATTGAGCTATCATTCAACAATTCAAAAACACTAACTCTAAAATTTGGATAAGACTCATCAGAAAAACACAACTGCGATTTGTTCTAGATAATGTTCCATTCTAACCCGTAGCAAAGTGAACAAATACTCAATAGTGATGAATAGTGACACCGAGTGCACCTAGATATAGCATCGGAACTTGCTGAGGCAGACGTAAATACGAAGGGGATAAAGGTTCTGTTATCCCAATGAAACTCCCCATGGAATCGATGTAAACAGACTGATAGCCGATGTAGATATAGCAAGTGAAATGCGGTAAGAGTCAGATGGAAAGGGTGGCTTCAAACGCTCCTGCAACGCGGAAGCTGCGCGGTGCATCGCCACCAAACGAAGAGTTGCAATCCTTCCAACGAGCCACAGTTGGTCGGCTCGTCCATGGAAATTATCATCAGAGTACGTTGAGATGGTCAGCACATCGGAACCGATTGCAGCAAATGTTTCTTGTTCAGTACCCAAGGGCACTTCTGATTCCTTAATAACGTCTTGGATTAGATACCTTGTATAATCATTCACATAACGGGCGCCAAGGTTCGCTTTGCTAGCAAGGGTCTTAAAAGTTGGGGGCATGTTGGCGTTCAAATAAATCTCGGGGGGAGACGAACCTCACCGGCTGACTGATGTGCGTTTATGTAGAAGTGAATTAACTGTTTCGATACGTAAGTCACTAAGTTAATAAGGCGGATTTCGGTTATGCAAATATCGCGGGGAAGCTGTAGCTGTAAGTCTCTGAAGCATGTATAGAATTTGATATGCATGGTGTGCTTTTTCTTCCAATCGTCTACAATACAGATATCGGAATTCGGTAAAATCGCGCACATTTTGCTGGGGGATACTGACTCTACTTGTCCAGGTACCAGTCACAATGAACCCTTAGCAGTAGATGGGACTTTCTCGTCGTCTATGTAGAAAGCGCGGCTGTCCGAGTTTAGCATTTCAAGGTCACCGTCATAAAATGGCTGCTGGGTCTTGCAAACAGGTTCAAGTAACGTCAATCCCAACAAGGTTTTCGCAGCGAATGGGAGTTGCCGTCCATCCCGACGCTGTTCTAGCCGCCCTTGGAGTTCAGACATACCTGCTCCCAGAAGAATTCAAACTCTAATGTCGTTGATATCAGCAAAATGAACGTCGGATAAATTAGGCCAACGGCTCGCCACTTGACTGATGCGGCACGCTCATGCTATAAACTCATTCAACAGTAACGGAATCGGAGCCATCCAGGGCCGATAAAAGGGAATTCGCAAGACTTGTATTCAAATATGAAAAACCACACAATGCCTGTTCTTTCAAGGTCGCATTATTAGCCTCTAGCCCGACCTCCTGCAGGATGTCTTCCTGTACAAGGCTTACGTCAAAACCCTTGTCCAACATCGTGTAATTTCACTCGATCTCAAACAACCCACTAAAAATACCGGAACTACTCCACGACAGACTTTCTCAAAAGCAGAACTGGCTGTATGAAAAATGTACGTCTTCTGCGGAGAAGTAGGTGTTTTTACCGCATGCAACATGGGATGGTGCATCCATTTACATAAGGACAATTTGTACTCCTTACTATCTTGAGAGTTCATAGTCCGATGGCCTGGTCTAGAACAGTTGTAAAATCCACACTGGATCTTACGAGCTCCCACCGGTCAGGGATGTCCCGAAGAGGAAGGTTGGACATGACGCGGTGTCTTGTTCTACGTTGCACGCTTCTGGGCTGCTCCGAGGAGGAGTAAAATGCATATTTACACTTGGTGTTTTGTCACCCGACCGTTGCGATTGTGCGACATTCTGAGGACACTGTGTGGTTGTGGTCGCCAGTTGTTTAAATCTACTACGTACCACTCGAGCTTCGGTAGCGACAAAGTCGGCCAGTGCTTTGAATGATAGTCTTCTTTCTCTTGAGCAAGAAAATCTGTCACTCTTGCCCATCTCGACTGTAGGGTGTTCGGCAGAACACAAACCACTCGCTCGATAGTGGCTATAGAATTTAAATCTGCGGTAAAATTCATCTGAGATGGGGCCACGTAACATTTGTCTAATTTTTGGTGAGAGGAGACCGAGCGTCATGGTCTTCAGCAAGTGATTTCAAGCCAATAAACAAACCCACGATTAGTGCCTTGGCAACAACATTGCAGTGGACAAACAATTTACAAAGAATGGCTCTAGCATTGTTGTAGGACTGCTCAGGAGGCAACATGACAAACTCACTGATCACCTCTTTGCCCGGTCCCTGCAATGGTAAACCCAATATAGCAATCATTGGCCACTGTCCTGCACGCGAGTTTTGACAAAATACTCAAATTTTTTGATAAGATTCCAGTAGGTTGCACGGATATCGTCGAAAACCTTAAGTTCTACTCTAGGTAGATCCAATTGCGAACTACGGAAGGATTGCATTTGGTTGATAGGGGGTAAACTGCTCCGCACCGACAAAAGGGATTTCTGACAGTTGTCGATAAACGTTCCTATCCACACACTCTTTGTTACTGCGCTACAGTGGGCTACAATTAAATTATCCAGTCCGTCAACACCTTGTTCCAACTCCAAACCTAATCAAGCCATCTCTATTTCGTTTTCAGCTGGAAGAATGCGCCTCAGATTTTGTTGTCCTAAATTAGCAACCAATTGTTTCCTTTTAAGCTGGGCTAACATAAAGAAAACCAAGGCATCACAAGAACTTAAAGTAACATTAATTTTGCCAGTATGCTGCGAACCAGAGCAAGAAACGGCATCGTCAGCGATAGCAAGTGAACGTTTAACTTGCCAAAGATCTTCGACAGCTTCCAAGAAGTTCACGAACGGCTTCCTGCTTTCATGCATTTTTACGATTTAAGTGAGAAGCAAACGTTGATGTTCTTCTGGTACGGAGGTCCGCTAAGCAATTGATCCAAAGATTCCAAAGATGTTATACACTGTAGGCGTTAAAATGGCTTGGGATATAAATCAACGCGTATCCTGCCAGGAAATCAACAAGAAGCAAAACCGGGTTATAATGCAATCCACGAGGAAAGCTGATTCGACAGTGTTTAGACTGGCCACTTCTATGCAACTTGCTTCACAATACCAATACTTGCTTTTTAATGGTTATGCCACAGGAATACGGAGAGGATGTGAACGAGATGGTGGTGTGAGAATAGGCTTAGTGGTTTCGTATTTGTATCCTATTCATCGGCGTACAGTCTCTGGAATGGGAAGTGTGTTCCTAAACGATGGCATACCGGTCACATAAAGGGGAAAGTAAGATGGTCCAACAGCTTTACAATATGAATACAGTCTGAAAATGTGGCTTATCGATCCTTTGGAATTTGATATTCGGAGTTTGCTGCATAATGTGTTAGAAAATTTGTCACAGAGATAAGGAGCTTGTGGTGCACAATATTAGTGAAAACTCATTTGCGTGTGCTTAGGTCCCACGATTTGTCATTTATTTTTGCGAGCCGATGAGCTTCGTGCTTGGTGGAATCCGTGTATGTAGGTATCCGCCTCTACATGATGCAAATAACATTAACTTGTATTGTTAATCCGTGTTGCAATGATCGTTACTATGCATCTAATTTGTGCAATTGCTGCTGTATGTACCAAAAAGATGACAGTGGGATGCACGATTTTTCAGATCGTTAATTCTTTGCTGCCTGCGCATGCATCTTGACCTTGAATAATAAGTTCACACGGGTTCAGATGCACCACATTACAAGCCCCGTTGTGTCGTATGGTAGGGTAGTGGAAACACGTTACGCAAATGACTGCAATTACTTAAGACATCAACTGAAGAAGCTATCTTTTGTTGGGCAGCAATTTTTTCGCTCTGCTAGTTTCACCGGACTCGTAGGTTACAGCTAATATATCTAAGGCATTTCGCAGTACATGCAAGGATCAATGGCGCAGAGTAAAATATTTTGGTAACTGGGTATGTTAATTACTCATCTTTTATTAATGAATTGCCTCAGCTCACATACCACCAATTTAGGGGAGCGTCCTACATACATAAATTGTAAAGAAATTTCTCTGACAATCCATACGGTTGTAACATTCAGTCAGTTGCAAGTTATAACCTCAAGTTTTGCTTTGCAGTAGAGAGCGTTCCAGCAATATATGTATGGCACAAAATCAAGTAGTCCATGTTCAACTCGCTTCTTTACCAGTGATACCATCTAATGAATACCCTTAAACTCCTCTGACTTTGCTCGTATGGGGGATCGGCTTTTCATTGATTTACTTGGAAGTGCGATGCTGATGCCGCTTTAGGGCAGTGGATTCAAGCGTTGGTCACGGCCGCCATTTTTATTTTCCTTATTCTATATTTGGACGAAAATAAGCTTTGAAGATCTGTCGGAAAATGCAGGTCAAAATGTCCGAACATACGTATTAATTGTCCGAAGTTTTGCTTATCATCATTTCATGTGTTTAGACTGCTTGGTGCAACCCAAATCTCCCTTAATTAGGACACACATCGCGTTCGACGGAAGGTCGCTGCCGTGCTTGCGTTCCGAGCCTATAGGTGTAGGTGTTCTGATGTCGTATGAAGAGAACCGTGCATTTGATCACATTGAATTGTAGCAAACGTCGAGTTGACTGCTGAGGTATCATATGTAGTTCCCACTAAAGCAAAAGCTGGTCGGCATTTAGTTGGATTTTGCGCCATATGCTGATTGCCGTCAGCAGACATTAAGAAAATGAAGCGATTGCGAGTGCGTGCTCATCAATAGAAACCAGGAACATTCGGGCCCTGAAACTAATCAGTGAGGCACACCACATTTGAGTTGTAAGAAGGCAGATAAATAGCTCCGAACTCTGACCACTAATTGACGTGGAAGGAAGAATTTAACGATCCAAATAAAAGGACCCATCCATTCCTGTTATGTCAGAGGTTGGAAAGCAGAATCCGATGATACAGTATGTCTGCGCCAACGTTTTATCTAGCGTTAATTGACGAGGTCCAGCTACTTTGTGCTATTAATAAATTCGGGGTGCGCGATCGCTGTCGATAGATCCGCGCTTCTCGGGAGCAATAATATTGCAGTTTTATAAGTGGCAAACCATCGTCACTGCAGTGTTAGATTATATGACTTTAGACAGTACAGGGAGAAGAGATACTTAGCGGCAGTTTAAAGGCTCCGTCCTTCTTCCTCCTTTGTAAAACGGTGCTTATTCTTTTGCTCCACATAGCAGAAAGCTGATTTGGGTCTAAGTAGCAATCAAATAACTAAGTCAAAGACGGTATCCTTTGTGTTGCTAATACTCCTAGTGCTTCTGCGAAAATGGCATGTACGCCCGATGGGCTGTGATTATGCAGGAACGTCACAGTTTGCGAAAATCATTCGCCGTAAGGTAGATTTAGCCGTTCCCCTGTGGCTGAAACACAAGCATTGAAAGATCACCTGACAGTAAGACCCTCTGCAATTTGGCAACTTATTGTATTGCAACGTGTTTGCTGAATTATTATCAATTCCTGCGGAGACATCTACCGTCCGGAGAGTAGGAAATACCTACCTCTGACGATATTAAAAAACAAAACATTGCGTCTGTCTTTATTGTGGCCTAAGATAGAAAATCATGTCAAGAACAGCTTCAGGTATCGGGAT